TTCTTCTCCGTTCACCTCTCAGGATCTTGGCCATGCACGCACACGCACCCGGTGGGAGTTTAAGCAACTAGGTCCAGGACTCAAACTGCAGTCGACTACATGGGAGTCCAGTGACAAAGCCATTACACCAACTGCTGGTCCCTTCATGAGCCTCCTTTGATTCCTGTTCCTGTTTCCAGTATCCTCAGTCTGCCTCCTGTTACTGAAAGCAGCTCTCTTCTCTTTCCCCGGTGCTGACCTAAGTGTGACAGCCCCGCCTCCTGATTCCTCCAAAGCACCACACAAAGCATCACATGAAATCAGCTTGATTATGTAGGGGTTAAGTAAAATTTTATCAATGTATAGCATAGAAAACAGCCTAAAAGTTCATCCTAGAATTCTGTTTTGTAGAAGTTCCCTGCCCCTCTTTCTGCCATCTTTCCTTGTCATCATAATAGTGCACATGAGTGTCTTGGCTGATGTTCTCAAAAGCATCAACAATGGTGGAAAGAGAGGCCAGGTTCTTATTAGGGTGTGCTCCAAAGTCATTGTCTAGTGCCTAACTGTGATGATGAAGCATGGCAGATTTGAAATCACAGATGACCACAGCTGGAAAATACTGCTACGAACCTCACAGGTAGGTTAAACAAATGTGGAATGATTACAAAGAAGGCCGCCACATAGGCTGCTTCATTCTAGTATCTGCCTCCATCTCCACATCACCTTCTCCTCTATGTGTCCCTGTATTTCTTTGCCTTTCTTATTAGGATACATGTGATTAATTGTGTTTAGATCTGGAGAATCTAGAATAAGCTTTCCTTATGAACTTTAATCACATTTCACATTTTTTTCCATAAAAGATAATACCTTTTTTTTCCATATTAGATAATACTCACAGACTTATGGAATAAATGAAGAAATATACCTTGAGAGACCACTTTTTTTTCCTATTTCTCTTAAAATAACTTTCTAAATCTTCTCTTTTGCTTAGTAAACAAATTAACCCTCAAACAGCTTAAGTCCTAGGACCCCTTTGGTAGGAAAGGTTTACTTGTCAACATCTAGAGAACTAACCTCTCTTCAAGTATACACTTGAAACATTTTATAATCTTTTTTTTTTTTTGGAGAGGTTTTTGCTATAGGACACGTGCGCTCACCAGAGAGACAGAGAGAGACAAAGAAACAGAAAGCAAGTTATCACCCCCCAGGGGGGATGACCACGTCGCAATCCCTTCTCCTCCATTCTCCTCAGGATCTTGGGCACGCACACACATGTACCCAGCGTGAATGTAAGCCACTGGGTCCAGGACTCGAACCGTGGTTGACTATATGGGATCCAGTGACATAGCCATTTCGCCAACTGCTGGTTCTCAAACATTGCTTTAATCTTATCACAGTTTTGTGCTACAAAGTAAGTCTCAACTAATTCCAACATAACTGTTGTCATGAAAACAATCAGCATGCTAAAACAAGGTTATATTAGCTATCCTTTCCTTGAATTTTAAGTAGATGCTGACATTGATCCTATGCTTTCATTATTTATTTTTACACTACAATGTATAATTTGGTAATTTTATATGCCATCCCCAAAAGTACTCTCTTATAGAATTGTAGTGTTTAGTGAAGTGTTACCATTCTATCTGATAACTGTGCTGTAATAAAATTATAATTTTTATATAAGTCATAACTATACTTAATACTTGTCCTTCTCCCCTGAACCAGACAACTAGTCTTCCCATATCCTTTAATTTTATTTTAATGTAAAACAAGATCTGTCTTAGAAAAAATATTAAAAGGTCAAGGTCCTTTCTTAGAACCCTAGCAGTGAGGGGCCCTTTTTCTCTATGGCGTGGCCCCCTACCTTTAAGGACTCTTGTTCTTTCTCTACAAAAACACATTCAGAAACAGAGACTCAGAGAAATATTCTCAAGGAAACATAAATGACTAACATCAACTCTAACCCAATGTAAATCTCATCATATTAGTGCAATGGTTCTAAGAGTGCCCTTTGAAGCCAGCCAGTGATGTGGTGGGTAAGGTAGGTGGATCCCACATGGCTGACTATGCAGTTTGAGTCCTAGACCTGGTGGCCTGAAAAACACATGAGGTGCAAGTGCATGCTTGCCCAAAATCCCAAATGAGGGGGAAATGGAGGAACTCTCTACTCAATGTGACCATTTCCACTGGGGGAGAGGTGCTTTGTCACTTTCTCTCTGTCTCTCTGTCTCTGTCTCTCTCTACTCTCTCTGGTAAGCACACATGCCTTCTGGCAAGAAATGAAAAAAAGAAAAAAATGGCTCTTGAGGTTAGAAACTTTATTGAATCCCAGCTCAGATACTTACCAGGTCTATGACACTGGATATATTAATAGTTTTGAGTATCAATTTCTTCTGACTTTTTTTTAAAGAGAAATTTTTGCTATAGAGCATGTGTACTTTCAGAGAGACAGAGACAGAAGGGCCACCCCACAGTTCTGTCTCCTCCATTCTCTTGGGATATTGGGCATGCACATACATGAGCCTGGCATGAATTTTAAGCCGCCGGGTCTGGGACTCAAACCACAGTTGGCTCTATGGGAGTCTAGCTATTTAATGATTACACCATCTGTTGGTCCCATCTATGATTTCTTATGTTGTTGGAAAGATTAATGAAATGACTTGTCGAAGAATTAACCAAAGTGCCTAGTAAAGAGTACTCAGTGGATATTAGCTATTATTAGCTATTTTTATTATAGATCAAAGACTTAAAATACTATTGCCAATCGAACCACGGTGGCACGGGCAGTAAGGCACCCTCTGCAGTGCTGGAGCCACATGGAAGACCAGGGTTCAGATTCCAGATCAACTCAAAACTTTCTGGTCCTTATGATCTTTGTTGGATGGAGAGCTGAGGCTGGTCTCATGGCTTAGCAAGACCCTGTTAAAAGAGCTTTCTCTTCCTCCTTCCCTTTCTCCCACTCCTTATTCTTCTCTATTTCTCATGGAAGAAATAAACAAACTTTTAAAATATTTATTTCTTTTTTTAAATAATTAATTTTATTTATTTATTATTATAATTATCATTATTTTAATTTGACCAGAGAGAGAGAGAAGGAAAAGGAATGTGTGAAAACAAACTGCCAGGTCTGGGACTCAAACCACAGTCAGCCATGTGGAAGTCATACTCCAATCACCATGCTACCTCCTGGCCCTTAAAAATATAAAAATAAAACAAACAAAAAACTATCACCATCCTGATAAAAAAAATTCAGACATCAGTAGACAAGTGGATGGGAGGGACACTTCTAGAGGGAAAACTTTTCTTCTTTCCCATCTCTAAAATAGTATACCACAGTTATTTATTTTCCTTTTATTATACACTTTAATTACAGTATATACTGAAATGTTGAATATATGAAATATTATTATTGTGGAGTAACAGATGTATTATATGATTGATAGCTTGGTTAAAATTAACAGAAAATTAAAACTGGTTTAAACAGTAGAGGAAATTGGGAACAGCAGATAGTATAGTGGCTATGTTGCTGGACTCCCACGTAGTCAGCTGTGTTTCTAGTCCCAGACCCAGTGGCCTAAAATTCATGCTGGGCACATGTGTGTGCATGCCCAAGATCCCAAGACGAGAATGGAAGGGCAGGGACTGCAGTGTGGCCATCCCCCTTGGGGGGTGATTTCTCATCGTCTGTCTCTACATCTCTTTGGCAAACACAAGTGTCCTATACCAAAAATCTCTCAAACAAACAAACAAAAAAGCAGTAAAGGAAATTTATTATTTTACCTAATCACAAAATTCAGAGGTTGGGAACCAGCAGTTAGCATAATGGCTATGTCGCTGGACTCCCAAGTAGTTGACCGAGGTTTGCGTCCCGGACCTGGTGGCTTAAAACTCATGCCGGGTGCGTGTGCGTGCGTGCCCAAGATCCCGAGAGGAGAATGGAGGAGAAGGGATTGAGGCATGGCCATCCCCCCTGGGGGGTGATTTCTCGCTTTCCTTTCTGTCTCTATGTTTCTCTCTGTCTGTCTGGCGAGCGCACGCGTCCTATAGCGAAAACCTCTCAAAAAAAAAAAAATTCAGAGGTTGGGCAGGATATGATTAACTTTGATTAGGGTGTTAGCTTAATTTCTTTGAGACAGTCTCAACACTGCAGTCCTACATTTACTAGACTGCATTCAAGATGGTGTCATTTTCATTGGAAAGATGAAGTCCGATAATAACTGGAGCCATCTGTGCCATGGAAGTGAAGTTCTGAATTTCACTCGGAATGGACAGGTTATTTATCTCTTCTTGAATCACGGTCCAAATGACTATGATACATTGATGGACTAGAGCTGAGGTTTTGTTTCTTTAATGAGTATTTGTTATTTCGTATACTTGCTTTCCCAAACTCTCTTGTAACTATTCCCTTGGTACACAATTCTGGCAAATCAACCAGAGCCACCTGAGAATCTAAACCTGAAGCTAGTGAAATAAAATAAAAGACATAGGCTATACACAAAGTGTGCTGAGAAGGATAACAGCAGTGGCAGTGTCTACAGCCAGTTAGCAGAAATAGCGGAGATAGGCCTCGTGCCAGCGTCGGTTATGTATGGGTCTGCTGACTGTGCCAGTCACCTCTTCACAGGACCAGTTCTTGGAATGTGTTTGGCCATTGTTCCAATTGTGCAGCCTACAGGACTAGTCCTTCTAGAGATTTTTAATAAATTGGTATGCTATTTTTCATTTTATAGTAGCCTAAATTCAATTCTGTTATTTGCAACTAAAAATGCTGATACAGTGATTATCTCTGAATCAACTACTGGAGAATGACATTACTGTCATTGTTCTAGAACACTCAGATCCTACCCCTGAAGCTAGAGATCTGATTAATCCCCCCGGCCCCCAAACTACATGGCTGCTATGCGGTAAAGGGGAGGAAGAAAGAACACCGGGATAGCAACCTCTAAAAACAGATATTAATGGTGTTTTCATGTCAACAAAGCAGACTTCCTATTCTTTATTATTGTTTTCTTCTATCGTTAAAGTGATACCAAAGACAATCTTTCCGAAGCAGATGAAACTCTGATCATCATTGAGGCTATAAGAGAAGCAAGTTTACCAAAATTTTCTCCTGAAGATGTCCCACTTTTTGAAAAGATTATAGAAGACATTTTCCCTGGACTGTCAGTTTCCAAAGTAAATCAGCTTGCCTTAGAGGTAAGGAACCTTTGAAAACCATTACAAATTATTTAAATGTAGAAGATCGATTAAAGTGAACTAGGTCTGGGTCAAAAAATATCACAGTTCTTCCTGAAATAGGCTATTCACATCACAAATTAGGGATAAAAATGTTTGGAGATACATATTTCCCCTTGTGGGGTAAAAGAGCTTTTGTGCTTAATGGAATAAGCATGATGGAAAAGGGAACAAATAGTATACTCTTAGGCAAGGAAGGCCATATCATATTCTGTTTCTCAATGTTCTCGTTTCCTAGATGAGTGGAATAGAGTACATTCTTCTTACTTTGAAAGGATGCTCTGAGAATCAATTAGATCAGAGTTATGAAAAAAAGATTTAAAAATGTAAATTTTTGTTATCATTAAAATTACATTTTATAATTGTAGAGCCTTTTATTTCTCTTATACATGCAGCCTCATAGTCATTGCCTTAGTCTAGGTAGTATCTCAGTGTCTCTGATTAATACCATAATATTGTATAGACTTCCACCATTCCTTGCATTTCACTGTGCTTCTATATTGCCCAAATTTGCTTTTCTAAAACATGTATTTGATCATATTAACAAAGACACTGTCGGATCAATAGTGCTGCAGTACAAAATAGCAATGAGTTATTTTGGCATATAATGCCTTTCAGAACCTGACTGGATCAGGTGGTCTTTCCAATGCTTCCTGTTTTGCTTTTTTTTCTCTTTCCTCCATCTCTTCTCCTCCTGGTACATGGTGATTTGAATTACAGAAAGGTATAAAATCTTCAGTATTTTATTTTAGTTTAGGATAATTAGAAACTCATACTCTGTTAACAGATAGTTTTAAATACCTCTCAAAGCATAACTTCTTTTTCTTTTTTTTTTTTTAGATGTTTTTTGCCTTAGGGTACATACACTTGCCAGAGAGAGAGAGACAGACAGACAGAGAAGATGAGAGGGAGACTGAGAAATCACCCCCACGGAGGGATGGCCATGCTGCAACCCCTTCTCTTCCATTCTCCTTCTGGGATTTTGGGCAATCACACACAAGCACCTGGCATGAATGTGAAGCCACCAGGTCTGGGTCTTGAACCATAGTCAGCCATGTGGGAGTCCAGCAATGTAACTGCTATGCCATCTGCTGATCCCCAAAGGATGGCTTCTTAGTCCAGGGGAGTCTTTACATTTGCTAATGGAGGTCTATTAATATAAAATTTGCGTGTGTATTATATTTTCTAGAGAGAATAATTATTCTCAGAAACAGGTTGATGAACTAAAAAATTAAGAATTACTGCCTTAAAATGTAGTAATTGGTACCTAGTTAAGAAATATTTGGAGGATTAAAATGCAAGGGCTCAATATGCAATGCATTTAAAGTTAATGTATTATTTTCTTTTAGAAAGTAATAACTATTTCAGTACAACAATTAGGCTTACAACTTTGGCCATCTCAGAAGGAGAAAGTTATACAGTTTCATAATCAACTTCAGGTAAGTGTAGAATGGAATGTTAGTAATTCTTCACTTAATTTTCAATGGTTAATACCAAGAGAAAAAAAATAATAATAAAGAGAGCTATTATACTATTCTTTGAAATTAAGTGGTTTATTAACCATTTTCCCAGATTTCATTATTTGACCCTTTCACCTTTAACTCTCAACAAACTCATTCTTTTCACCTCATCCTCATACACACTTAAAAAACCCTACAAACATGGTATAAAATATTCTGCATTCCATTGCTATATCACCTTTAGATTTTCTATTCTTCATGAATGAACCATTTGGAAAAATATCAGAATGTACATTTCCCTGATTGCAAAAGAATATAAGATTGTATATTATCTTTTTAGTTACTTGAGCTTTCTATGAATTGCTAGATTATATAATGTACTCATTTTTCAATTGGGTTATTCATCATCTTATTATTAGTAAATGTGTATATTTCTGCTATATATTTTTATATGTATTGCAAATTAATTCTCTAAGTATTGGCTTTTTAGAAATTTTCATGGTGTCCAATTGTGTAGAAGACATGCGTAATGCAATAATATCTATCAACCTTTTCCTTACAGTTTGTTTTTTTTTATCCTATTTTAGAAATCTTTTCTACCCTAACTTCATAAAGAATTTTCTATAATTTTTTTCTAAAAGTTTAAGATATTTATATTTTCCATTTTTTAACTGTCTGAAATTTATTTTTCTTTAAGGTATCAGGGAAGGATTTTTATTTCCCCAAATGGATAACCAATTTCTCAAGACTTTTTCTCACTGACTTGCTACTTTTGTCATATATTAAGATTTCATAAACTAATAGGATTGATTTCTTTCATGATGTGTCCCCTATATTTTATTCTTTTGGTCTATTCCTCTCTGTCTCTATGCCTGAAACTGTTTTAATTATCATAGTTTTAATATTACGTTTTTATATCTGGTAGTACCAATCTCCTATCTTTGTTATTTACAAATTTTTATTGACTATGTTTTAACTCTTTCTCTTTGACAGGATTTTGAGAATCATCTTGTTGACTTCTATTTTTAAAAATCTTATTTATATTTTAATGAGTTAGAACTGAATTACTAATTAGAGTGAGGGTTTTCATCTTATATCTTTTTCTTATGCCACATATTTTATAAGCTTTTACTCTGTAAGCTAACAAGTTAGCCTGCCATCATTGCATATTGGCAGAAGACATTAGACTTCTAGGTCAGAGACAAAGAACAGAGTCTTACTCATAGAAGTAGGAGTCACCATAAACATCATTTGTGTCAATTCCCCAAGGTTTAATTCCTATAGCCAACAGAGTCACACCTGCAGATATAGTAAGTTGTATTATAGGAAGAGAATCTTAGGCTTAGAGACCTCCCCAAATATTATGTAAGTAGTAGCAGCAAACATGCCCAGCCTTTGTCCTTGAAGGAGACATTAATTTTTTATTTTATTCTGGATAGCAAATAAATATGTCCTCTATCCTGATAGTAGACACTATCTCTGTCTTCCAACACTACTTGCTTTACAAATAGCTTTGAAAAGATAGTTCTGAACAAAGCTGTCAATAGCTCTGCTCAAAAGGCATGTAAAACTGTCAGAGACCCAATAAAGAACTGTCTCTCAACAACATCAACCCCTTGTTTATACACTGTCTTGACTTCTGCTGAGTTTCTTATGAGTACACCATTTATACTGACCACTCTGATTCATCTTACAGTGGCTTAGAACTAAAAACTAAAAATACATTCAATTTATCTAATATAGAATTTAATTAAGGTGTTTGTCAACAGGACTCTAAATAGCAGGATGAGGCCTGCCTAAAGTATTGATCTCAACCATACCCATCCAAGGTCCTATGTCCAAACAGCTAAACAAATCTCATAAACTATCAGAATCTACCTAAGAAAGCAAAGTGAATTTCTCTTTAAGTTTAGGTACTGACCATTCCTCTTAACTTCTGAGGCCTTAATCCAGGAATAGCAAAATGTATTGTCACTTGCACAGACTTTGCCTTGCCACATAAGAAAAAAGTTTTTAGTGCCTTTCTATCATACATAACAGTCCTAGTCAGTGAATTGAGGCTGATCTGAACATCTTCCAGGGTCAAGGTAATGTTTCTTTAAACACTGTATGTTTAAAACCCTTGGGGACCAGTAGTTGGCATAATAACTATGTTGCTGGACTCCCATGTAGTCGACCGTGGTTCGAGTCCCAGACCCGGTGACTTAAACTCACGTTGGGTGCATGTGCATGCGTGCCCAAGATCCCGAGAGGAGAATGGAGGAAAAGGGATTGCAGCATGGCCATCCCCCTGGGGGGCAATTTCTCACTTTCTGTCTCTCTGTCTCTCTCTTTCTGGCAAATGCACGTACCGTATAGCAAAAACCTCTAAACAAACAAACAAACAAACCCTTCTAGCCATCTCTAGGGTACAAATAAATTGTGTTTAGGAGTGAGGCAAGTTAATGCCTGGCTTCTACGTAAGAAATGCCATCTGTGAGCTAGTCAGTGGTACAGTGATAAAAACACAATGCACTGCAAGTTCGACCCACATGGGAAGGTTCTGGGTTCGTGTACAGAGATCTCCCTGAGTATGCTGGGCATACACATGCCCATGATCTGGGGCTGGCTTAAGCTGTGAAAGGATCACAGCATCAAAACCTTACAGAGGGTGCTGTCTCACTCACAGAAGAAATAAATTCATAAACTTAAAAAAAAAATCAGTCCTAAAGGTTCACAAGATACCTTCAGAACAAAAGTGTTTTTAAGAGTTCTGAAACTACCCTGAGACCTATATCAGTTCAAGGTAAGGTTGGTACACATCAACAGTGCCTCTGATTTGGTTCTATAATTGAGTCTAGTCCTTGTTTTTGGAGTGACTGCTTACAGACATTCCAGGCTGGTCTGTTTGCCATGCCTTCAAGCCATCAGAACTTGCCTGTTCATGGAATGACTGAGCAATGGAAATAAAAGTAGGGAAGACCTTTCAGATATCTAGAGGTGGTGACAAGTGTTTTACATGGGAGATGTAGGAGCGAAGCCCATACCTACTGTTTCTGACAGACTTCCTATTAAAGTTAAGGGAACTAATATTTAAATCATAAGTCCAAGTGGCAAGAGATGGCAGTCCCACACATCAGTTTAATTAAAGGTTCCATCAGTAGTTTGGGATAGCCATATCAGTGCATTTTCCTTTTTGAGGAAAACTAGAGGGACAGTAATACAAGACAAAATATATTCAATTATTTCCCTCTTCCCTTTACCTCCCAGAATTTGAGTTATCTCTTCTCCAGGGTATTTCCTGGATATTTGCTCTTCCTGCACTGACATAAAATTGGTATGTCCCAGGGACCAGCAGGTGGCACGGTGGTTAAGGTGCTGGACACTCCCATGTGGCTGACCATGGTTCAAGTCTCAGACCTGGTGGCTTGCTTTCTTGCTTTCTCTCTCTCTCTCTCTCTCTCTGTATCTCTCTCTGGTCAAATTAAAATAAATAAATGAATAAATAAATTAAATTTTAAAAAGAATTATTTTTTAAAAATCGGTATGTCCCACTTCAGTAGTTTTAACCATGGTTATTTTCCAAGTGTCCCCTACATATACCCAGCTCTTTCATCCTGAAAGGCTAGATGAAAGAGAGACAGGGATGGGGGGAGGGGAGGAACACCATACCCAGAAATAGAACTGAACCCCAAATTTTCATCTCATTTATATTAATTATCACCCAGGAAGCAGATGAAAAGAGATAATTTATTTGTAGGGACACCTATATTCAATGATTAACTCTTTTTTAAACAATTATTTATTTAATTTATTATTATTATTATTTAATTCAACCAGAGAGAGACACAGAGAGAGAAAGAGAGAGAGGGAAAATGGGAAGACAAGCCTCCAGGTCTGGGACTCGAACCGCAGTTGACCATGAGGGAGTCCAGCGCCTTAACCACCATACCACCTGCCTGCCTTCAATGACTAAACTCTTAATTAGGTGTGTGGAGAAAGAGAAAGTCAGAGAGATAGAATCATAAATCTCTTGAGTTAATTTTTGAAGAAGCTTTCCCGATGCTCAGTAATACCAGATTCCTGTGGATCATAGTGATTATGAAAAGTCCATCCAATACTTTGAACATCTGCTTGATGTTAAGCAACTTCTGTGATAAAAGATACACCATTGTCAGACTGATAGTGGTCCAGAAATCCAAATAGATGATACAAATTAGTTGCAAAGAGATAGTGGCACAGCCTGAGTCAGCTCGTTAGACTGAAATAGCAACCCCATAACCTGAAATAATGTTCATATGAGCAAGGCACCATCAATAGCCCTGAGAAAGAGAATAAAATGCCCAGTATAGACAATCTGCTAGAAGTCTGTGGAGTTCATGCCCTGTTTGAGATGGCTTCCCTCATGTAAAACAACTGCATCAACTTTTGGCAGGAGTCATAAGCCTGGCATGCAGTAATAGCTTCTACAGCAAAAACAGTTCTTTCTTTGAGCTGCTGTATTATCATTAACATACTGCAATATTCAATACAATGTCAAATCAATATAGCAATCATGGTCATCTGGGCAGGAAAGACTACTCAGTAGCTTGATTCTGGGCAATCTTATCAAAGAATGAACCCTCATCATGTATGACTCAGATAGTGTGGCTAGCAGTTGTCATTTGTTTCTGCAGTTCACAACTCCAAAAGGGGATATTGTTAACCCTCTAGTCGATAGTTTTCCAAGTGGCTAGGCAATTGGCAAAACCTAAGAAAAATAGTTCTACCCATCAAGCAGAATGAACAAATCTGTTTTTGGTTCCTTAAACCTGGCTCTGAGGCTAGACAGTGATAACAGTCCAATTTCAGCTAGACTAAACTGTCAGTAAACCCCACTGAGACATTCATGGGAATCTTTGTGAATCAAGGGTGCCATTAATCCAGCAACTTCATTTCAGGAGGTGAAATAGGGGATAAAGTTTACTCCAGAAGGATAGCTTGCACTTTTTCATGACCTTCTATGTCCAGACTGTTCCTAAATATACAATTTCCATCTGACAAGCAAAGTCTTTTGGATCCTTGCCAGTTGCAGAGTCTAGGACTGTCAGAAGAGAATCACAAGGCCTCCATGAGAGTATAATCATAGTAAAGTAAATGGAGATATTTTAGCATTTCCTATATTTGAATTTTAAAGTATTTATATGATACTTTATTTAAAAAATAATCATCTCTAGTGCTATTGCAAGAGCCTGGAAGAAACAATGAAATCTCAAACATCTTAGCTCACACAACTATAATAAAATACCATAGATCAGGTAACTCAAAGAACAGACATTTATTTCTCATGATTCTAGAATCTGGGAAGTCCAAGATCATGGTACTGGCATATTTGCTCTCTGGTGAGACCCTTTTACTGACTTGAAGACAGTCACTTTCTTGTTGTGTCCTCACATGGCAGAGAGAAAGCTAACACTGGTTATTCTTCCTCTTACTGGATTGTTGGAAAAGTCATGATGCAGTTTTGCATAGAAATACAGAAAAAATATGTCATGATGATTTCCAACATACAGAAATTAATCCTACAATAGGGAATCCACCCTAAGTCTCATAAACCCATTTACTTTCCAAAAGTTTCACCTCCAAACATTATCATATTAGGGAGTTAGGGCTTCAACATATGAATTGGGGAAATCAAAGACTGTAGTACATAACACCAATGAAAGGCAATTGTGTTTGGGATGGAGAAAAGATGTACTCAAAAAAAAAGTTTTGTAAGAGATAAGAGGATTTTAAAATGTAAATATTCTACATTGGATATCTGGTACATAGTGGTTTTATTAAGAGAAATAAAATAAGTGAATGTGAAAAGAAAGTATAGGTTTGAGTACATAGGGTTTGAGAATCAGATGACACATCCAGGTGGTAATGTTTAGCAGACCATTCAAAATTTTACTGATACTTGGGACCAGCAGTTAGCATAAATGGCTATATCACTGGACTCCCACATAGTTGACCACGGTTCGAGTCCCGGACCCAGTGGCTTAAACTCA